TTTCAATAATCTATGAAAGAAAAACTCTTATTACTGTTGTAGTAGAACGTAAAGCAAAAAATCGTAATTCATTATCTGAACAACCAGTAATTAAATATCGATCATGTGCTAAAGCAATACTCCACACCTATATTTCAAAAACAAAAATAACAACTCAAATAAAAAAACGAATTAAACCTCTGTTCGATGTGTAACAATTGTATGAAAACAATGTTGAATAGACATATCCCAAAATTTGATTGTCATATCTTTTGAACTAGAAAACAATTCTATATAAAATAAAATGACGATTTTTTTTTTCGATAGTACATTACCTTGAAATAAGTACTGATTGACTAGTCATGATAATAACTTTTGTTATAGGCGCTTTATGACCACGAAGACGATAAAGACCAGCTTCAGTAATCAGATCCCAAGCAATAATATCTGTATCCTTATAATGAAAAGAAAAACAAAAAAAAAACAAATCTGTTTTTATAAGAATCTATCTTTTTTTTTTTCATACTTTAGATCCTGAGATAAGTGTTGCTGAATCTTGTGTAAATGTTAATGTAGTTATAGTTGATTTATGTCCATGAAAATTCACAGTTGTTTCATTTTGTGTTATAGAAAATATTTTAATCATTCCAGTTTGATATCCAACAGCTAAATGTTTACCATTTGGACTAACACTAACAATTATTGCTTCTTCACGAATTTTTTTCTTTAATACTGTTGATGATGTTATTTCATCAACAAATGTATTTATCTTAAATTTGATTCATTTAGAACAAAAAAACAAAGTAAAAGAAAATAAATACCTGGGAATGAGTTTTGAGATCCCATAAAAGAACACTTTCACATGCTGGAACAAATATACGACGTGAAGTTGATTTTGTATTTGATGGTAATAGAGCAATATTATTTGCATTACCACTTCCGATAATACCAAAGACTTTTTCCGGCGCATGACGATCATATTGCTTTGTAAGAACCATCTTCAATGAGAAAAAAAGAAATACTTTCTTTTTTTGTGGATTTAAGTCTAGCAAATTAATGATAGGTATTATAAACAACCTTTTCTTAAATAATTATAGTGATGGTAATTGAGCTTATCGGTTTACCTACAAAAATCTTGTTTTTCACATATAAGTAAAATTTGAGAAAGTTGGGCTTAAAAATATCAGAAAAGTCTATAAATCTTGAAATAAACCAAACATATCGAATTTCGCTAGCCTCGATGTTTATACAAATATTTAATTTTATTTGTCATAAATGTATGAAAAACAAGCCATAAAAACGAGTTTGTATTCAAAGGTTTTCATAATCAGAACTTCAGTTTCAAAAGAAACGAATATCATATTAAGAATCAACACAAAAATCTGTATCCATTTGTATACTTAGTATTCAAAAATGATTTTGTGGTCTCTGTATCTCTCACCATTATTTTTGAATAATCTAGCCTTTGGTTTCCCAAAGATTGAAATTCGACCAAAAATTAGTTTTGAGTATTAATTTCTTTGCGAATTCTTAATATGACACGAGACTGGGGTTCGATATAGTTAATCATTCAACATGGATCCGTTTTTTTCTCGAATTATATGGCGCGTAAAAGCAAAAACCAAGTTCGGTAAACATTGAGACTACGCAAACTTGATACATTTGATGTATTTCAATTTTTCTAGACTTTTCTTATATTTTCAAACCCAATTTTCTTAAGTTTTCACTACAAAACTATCGTTTGAATACATCAAAAGCAACATTTTCACAGGTAAATCAACGAGTTATACTTAAAAAACCTTATAACAAAGATGTTGCTCACATTTCAAATAGCCGTAACCATATAATCTAATTCGATTTGAGAAAACAACTATCGAAATTGATGATTAAATTTCGATTGCTTATTTAATAAATTCCAATCGATACACTGGGATCGTCCTCCATAATAAAAACTAGATGTCAGTAGTTAAACCAAAAAATAAAACACACACACATAAATAGATGACATAATATTTTGCATTCTCGAAGTCACTTGATCATAAATATTCAAGATGGTGACGTTGCAAAGCAGCTGATGTTTCATTGGAGATTCTATCATGAATCATCATTGATATAAACATTTATATTTTTATTTCTTCTAGATTCTTTTTTTACCTTTCAAGTAAAATAAATAATTATTGACAACTTTCAGTACAGATAATGGCTTATGCATATCTTTTTAAATATATTATTATTGGCGATACGGGTTTAGTTTTAAATTAAATCATATATTGATTATGATTGTCTCGTTTTTTTTTTCTCTATTTAAGGTGTTGGTAAATCATGTTTATTACTTCAATTTACCGATAAACGCTTTCAACCTGTACATGACTTAACAATTGGTATGATAAATTGTACTTAAATTATATTTTTGACTGACATATAATTTAATTAGGTGTGGAATTCGGCGCACGTATGATAACAATTGATGGAAAACAAATAAAATTACAAATTTGGGATACAGTTTAGTTTTTATAACAAAAAAAAACAAAACTTTTAAAAGAAAAATTGAATTTTTCTTAGGCTGGACAAGAAAGTTTTCGTTCAATAACTCGTTCATATTATCGTGGTGCAGCTGGTGCTCTACTTGTTTATGATATAACACAGTAAAATTAAAAAAAATCTATTTTAATATTTATTCCTATGTTAAAATTAGACGTCATACATTTAATCATTTAACAAGTTGGCTTGAAGATGCACGACAACATTCCAATTCAAATATGGTTATTATGCTTATTGGAAATAAATGGTAAGATTATTCATTTCTAGCAGGTTTTTTTTTGGCAGAAAGTTCTATTCGGAGTATTTCTCTTTTTTTAGTGATCTTTTTGCTCGACGTGAAGTACAAAAAGAAGAAGGTGAAGCATTTGCACGTGAACATGGATTAATATTTATGGAAACATCAGCTAAAACAGCAGCAAATGTTGAAGAGGTTTACTTTTTTTTTTATTTAGAAATAGAATAAAAATTTTACGTTTTCTTTCGATTTAAGGCATTCATAAATACAGCTCGTGAAATTTATACGAAAATTCAAGAAGGTGTTTTTGATCCAACAAATGAAGTAAAAATTGAATTAGAATTTCATTTATTAGAATTTGACTTGTTGTTTTTTTTCTTTTTCTTAAGGTTAATGGTATTAAAATTGGCCCTCAAAATCTTAATTCAGCACCTGGAACTAATCGTCCAAATGTTAATGCAAATGAAAAAGGTGGTTGCTGTTAAAACACTTTTATATGACAATAAATCAACTGCATTAGTTTCGATTTTTCGTGCGCATCTGTGTATTCATGCATTGATGTTGTATCTTTTCTTTTTTCTCTTTTCCCCGCTGTTGTTCGTTTCTCTTTTTATGAAGAAAAAAATTCACGCTTACTTAAACATTCTCTTCTTTTACTTAGATGGATAAAATAAATGTTTCTTTTTTGTGTAGTACATTGTTGAGTAGAACTATACACAATTACAGACAGGAGATTTTCTTTTTTCTGATTTTATTGTATATAATTTTTCTCAAATACACAGGACAGGTTATTATTTATTCATATTTATATATATATACATATATACATATTTATCCGTTATATAAGCATACAGTGAACAGTTCATTCTTTTGATCGTTTACTTTCAACATACACACATATATAAATGATACTCAATTTCTTTTTTTGTTTTCTTTGTTGTTGTCTGAACCTTTGTGTGTGTATGTGTATGTTCAAAAGAAGGAAGAACGAAAAAAATAAAAAATATGAGTCATTGTAGAAAATTGTTTTTCTTTCAGACTGATTGAAAACGGATGCTTGGATCGATGATGATTGATTAAAAACAGTAAGTTTTTATTATTATTTTTTTTTTTCGAGAGAGAATTTTCATTTGAAACAAGAAAAATATTTTTCTATTTATTTAGACGAAAGAAAATCTGTATGTAAGGTAGGATGTAGAGATTAATATAAAACAAAATTATTATTCGTGATTATCTTTAGTCAATTATGATTTAACAATGATCTCTTAAACTAATTAACTATAAAAGATTTATTGATCATACATTATCAAATCAATGATGTGGTATAATGTTGATAAACGATAATGATTTAAATTAAGATACATCGAGAAAAGTATATCAAGAGAAAAAAATTGACCTCGTAAGAAAAAAAACAATTAGAGATATTAACAATAGGTTTCACAAGTATACGCATGATAATATTCTCATACAAAACAGAATAATACCTGGAATAGAATATTGATAATCATTTTACAGATAATGTATTATTTATTAATCAATTATTTTTTTATGAGTTATTCTTTAGTTTTGATGTATCCATTATGAATGAAATTAATCGGCTATTCAAGATCATGATAGATCATATGATAGATATACGAGTTTCTTGAGACACTATATTAGAGAAGTTACTAGAGAATATCTTCGTACTTCAAAACTATGAGTAGAGAAAAGAAAATAATCTCTATTAGATATAGAGTCATCAAATAATAACAAAATATTCTCTAGAATTTTGAATGTATCAATGTCAAAATTTTCTCCATTAAGCTTTTTATTTGTTCATAATTGATTGATAGTGAGAATACGTAACGCTGTAAGAACAGCACTTATAAATTTATTATATGTTTGATTCATTGTGCGATTATATACTAAGAATCACATTGATTTATATATTGTTGATGTTATGCAATGACATTTTTGGACTAAAAGACTATGAAACATTATTTTGCAATTCATTGATTTATTAATTCATCGTTATATACAATACTGTGAACAGTAAAGAAGACTTTATATTAGAAGAAGTCATTCGATGCTTATGACAAAGAAAAAATGATTGATAAGAAACTTTTTTTTGTTTGTAGAATAATAGAATGTTAAGTATGCTTAGAAAAATAAATTATTTAAATGTAAATGGAAGATAAATATCTGACTATGAAAAAAAACTTATCGATTAGTAAAATATTTTATTTGATTTCTAGATAAAAAAAAAATGTCACATATTGAAGAAGAATTTCAGAGAATTGAACGTGAAAATGGTTGGAATACATTATTTCGTGTTAGTTTTCTTTTCAATATATTATGAGTAAATTTAGATTTCTTTCTTTTTAAGAAACTTGCAAATGATCATGGTGTTCGAACATTAGAAAAAAAAAATGATATTGCATTATTAAGTATGAATCGAGGATTGAATCGATTTCGTGATGTTTTACCTTGTATGAATTTTTTATTAAAATTGACATTTTTTTTTTCTTTTATTTTTATGTTTTGTTTTCAGATGATGATACTCGTGTACGTTTACAACGAGGTTCAAATGATTATATCAATGCAAATTATGTTCAAGTACCTTGGGCAAATCGAAATTATATTCTTACACAAGTAAAAAAAAAACATATCTGAGCATTTTTTTGTTTACTATTTTATTAATATTTATTCTATTTAAATAAAAGGGTCCACTTCCAACAACATCTGAACATTTTTGGCAAATGGTTTGGGAACAAAATAGTCGTGTCATTGTTATGTTAACACATTTAGTTGAAAAAGGATGTGTAAGTATTGAAATTTCGATTTTGAAAAACAGAAAAACAAATGTTCCTATACAACACTTTAAGTATTAAAAAAATTCTAAATTTAGTTTGTTCGTGGTAGTCCAACAAGAATATATTGATATCTCTAATGAGGATATGATAGTTAAATTTCTTTTCTAGTTCTCGACTATATTGTCTAAAAATATCCTAGATTTATTTATTGATTCAAGTTTTTTCTATAGATTTGACTGATAGGAAGTGCCTCTGTTCATAATTATTAGCAAGAAACATCTTTTATTATTATTGATAGAATTAAATAAAACGATAATTATATTTCATACTGATCATAATTATAACCGAATATAAGACAGAAACAAGAACTTTTCATTCAAACGATTTCAAATATGTTGATATTTCAAATTATAAATCCATTGATTTGTTTTTCGCTCTTTGAAAACTTAAATAGAGCATTAGAACATAGAAATAAATGAATGTTTTATGCAATAATGTATTTTTGATTTTCTTGAAACATAAAACAAACTAACACGTTGAAAAATATATTATTGAATTACAACCATAATAGTTAAATGTTTTTTTTTTTTATTTAGAATAAATGTTGGCTGTATTATCCTGATTATGAAAATGATAGTGAATTATGTTTTGATGAAGTTGATTTAAAAGTTACGTTTGTATCTGAAAAACAAGAAGATCATTATACTCAACGAAGATTTGAACTAACAAATCTATTAGTAAGTATTGATGGAATAGAAATTTTTATTTTCTTATATATATATCAAATAAAAATTCTTTTTTTTTATATCAGACAGGTGAAGCTCGTCCGATAATTCATTGGTCAGATTTTGATTGGCCTGATCATGGTGCACCAAGCTCACCTGAACCATTTTTACAATTATTATGTGATGTTCGTCATTGTGGTGCTTTTGATTCTCGTTTTGGTGCACCAATTCTTCATTGTAGTGCTGGTAAAGTAATAAGAAATATTCATTTTTTTTTTTCATTGTTCAAAAATAAATTTTTCTTCATTTTCAGGTATTGGACGATCAGGAACATTTGTTCTTGTTGATTCCATATTAAAGATGGTAAAAAAAATAATAAACATTTTCTCTAATTATTTTTAATTATGATTCTTATTTTTTTTTTTAATATCAGCTTGCTCATACAGATAATCCGAATGATATATCATTAATTGAAGTTCTTGCTCATATTCGAACACAACGTCATGGACTTATTCAAACAGCTGAACAATTAAGGTAAACTATGAAATTAATAAATATATATATATATAGAAAAACGAATTGAAATTAATAATTTAGATTTTCTTATATGGCAATTGTTGCCGGTTTAAAAGAACTTGATGAAATGGAACAAAGTGAAGATTTATTTGATGAAAGTGATTTTGATGGATCAACTGAAAGTGAAAATGAAGACGATACAAAATTAAGTACAAGTCTTGAAAATATTAATTATGAATTAAAAAAACGTGCTGAATTACGTAAAAATAATTCTCATTCATTACAGACTACGTATGAAATAGATATTGATGAATTTTCAACGAATAATTAATGTTTTTCGTTTTGTTTCTTTTGATTTAGAAATGATGCTGAAACATCTCTACGTCTTCGTGATGAACGTTTAAAACGTAATGAAGGTATTAAGAAAAAAATTGATGAAATGAAAGCAAAATTAGATGAAAAACCATCTAGTTTACCATCATCATTATTTAATAATAATAATTCATCGATTTTAACAATTCTTATGACAAAATATCGTCGCCATTTTTTTATTGGTTTAATAGCATTAGTGACTGGATCGGTTTTTTTGTACAAATTTGTCAGAATTAATGATCGAACCCATTGAGTCTCTTTTTTTTTTGTTACAACTTTTTTTTTGTATTTCTTCAAATCAAAACAACACAAAAATTAAATGAAACTTGGTAATAAATAGATATCTATTTGGTACATTATTAATTCAAGTTTAAAAAATACTCAAATACTTGTGTTTTTGACTCAGAAAAGGCTAATAAAATAATGGAGAAGATGTATTTTGTTAATTAAAAAATCAAAAAGCTTACGACACTCGGTATTCCCAGGCGGTCACCCATCCAAGTACTAACCGAGCCCGACGTTGCTTAACTTCAGTGATCGGACGAGAACTGGTGTATTCAACGTGGTATGGCCGTAAGCGATTATTATTGGCATTGATAATGGTGTTAATCGTTTCTGTATATATATATATATAAGAAATTTTCTTTTAAAGCAACAGATAAATGATAAGAATGCATCTAAAAGCAAGCTTTTCAATTGGTTAATATTAAAGGTTTTCTTACTTTTATTTTCAAAGAAAAAGCAATTCTTCATGCAAATTAAAATATTTACGACTGAATAAATAAATAGAATAAAATAATTGACTTTTCATATTTCCGATTACTCCATCAATACAATACAAAAGAATTTTTTAATAGTTTGTCCTAATTTGGCACGTTTATAATGCAAAAAAAGGAACTATGTTGGCTTATTTTCTATTGCTACTACGCAGGAAACAATCATACGATCGATGAATATTATTGAAAGTGTTCGATTATTTTTATTCACATCACTAGTCAGTCATTACTACAAATATCACTTCGCATGCCCAATTATATTTATTCATAAAGAAAAAGAAACGGAAATGGATTCTTCTTATTGATTTTCATTGATAAAAATATCTAAGGGTAAAAATGCTCCAACTGTATAATTTGACATATCAACAACTTGTATTGCTCGAATATCTACTGTTACCGAATATAACATATATGCTTCTTCTCTAGTTAATCCTTTCGTTTGTTCTAAATAAATAATCATTTGTCTAACGGCTCCTTTGGTCGCCTCAAGCATATTATCCGCTATTCCTAAAAACCGAATAAATATTGTGTCGATTGTTTTATATCAGGTTGAGTTAATAAACATGGAGATGTCACATGTTTAAACTCATCTCCATGTCGTACAGTTAAACGAACTGAAACAATAATTGGTGTTTCAATTGTTGTACCACATACTTCTCTATCACCTTGTGCTGCATGTTCATCACCGATACTAAATAAAGCTCCTTTACATTCCATAGGTAAATAAAGTTTTGCTCCTTTTATTAAACATTTCGTATCAATATTTTCACCTGTTCGATAAGGTAGAATTGTTGAAAAAGACCCATTTAAACTACGTGCAACACTACATTCACCAGTAAATGGTCGATGTGAAATACGTATTTGATTTTGTTTAAACCAAGCATATTGATAATTATTTTCATCTAGTTTCCATAGTTTCAGTTTCACTTGTGGAAATTCCTTATGAAGAAGACCAAAACTAGGTATAATTCCCGCCCAACCCACCCACACCCACCCTCATCAGTTGATTGAGCATTGATTTGACCATTGGACGCATCAAGACAATTAAATGATACAATTTCACCAGAATTTATTGTGATTATTGGTGGAATCGAATTATCCCAGGATAAATGATGTTGATGTTGATTTATGTGGTACATTGATTGAAATTATTTGCTTAGTAGTATACCGAATATGATAAAAGAAATAGAAGATAAGAAAATTTTACATTTTATACGTGTAAATAATATGAAGATAAAAAATTTCTCCTTTAAAGATTCATTAATATGGGAAAAAAGTAAGCCATCAAAAAGTGTTAAAATTTAATATATATATAAGTGCTTCATCAAATCTAGTTGAATAAGTTGCAACAATGATATATTGATCACTTTTCTCTATTATTATCATTCTCATCATCTAATTGAACAACATTTTTGATAATGAAAACTCAATGATTTAACCAGCAAAACGACTTTTTGCACTATTTCAAATAGTAAATTACATTATTTTTACTTGCAAGTAAATCAAAAGTATAAAGTATGCAATATGTTTATGATATAAAAATATAGTTCTATAATAAAAAAATTCAATCGTTCAGGATGTAAGTGAATGTGAGTGTGGGTGCGATAGTTTTCTACCTTAACTAAACATCGACGTCTATCCACTTCATCACACATCCTCCAGCAGACGCATGGATATCTTCACGTACGTCATACATCCTAATATATTCATTCACAACACTCATACGCCATGATCACATCCTCATCTCGTACTCACACTTTTTCATACTTTCCAACCAGAAAAATACTTTGTAAAGCCCATAATTTCTTTTAGAAGGTATATTTATTTATTTTATATTATTTATTTGAAAGTAAGGTCGTCCTCGTCTTTGTCATTGTCGATACTTTAAATGGCAAAAAAGTAATGCCAACATAAATATCTACAGAAGAGAATAACGCGTGAAAACCACTGAATCAACAAAATAACCAATCATATTTCATTATTAGAACTGTTGTAGATGTTCTTTTACGTTTGCATTAAGTTAGATTAATATTACTAGGCACATCGAAGTAGGCTACTTCTCCTTGTTGCAACATGAGAATACGATCGCTGTTAGCTACTGTATTCAATCGATGTGCAATCGTTAATATGGTACGATCACGAAACTTGTCAGCAATGACTTCTTGAATCATTCTATCGGTCGTATGATCAACATTTGCTGTAGCCTCATCAATAAGTAATATATGGCTCTTCTTTAGAATGGCTCGTGCTACACAAACCAGTTGACGTTCACCAGCACTCAAATTAGTTCCAGATTCCGCCACCAATAAACTTAATCCCTGTGGATGATTGTACACCAATTGTTTGAGTTGAACAGATTCCAGTGCTCTAAGGCACTCTTCATCTGAATATTGTTCGAATGGATCAATATTGTATCGAAGTGTACCACAGAATAATATTGGTACTTGAGGAATAACACTTAAATGAGAGCGAAGATAATTGAGTGAAAGACAACTAATATCAATATCATCGATGAGAATAGCTCCACTAATTGCTGATTGATCCACTAATCGAAAGAGAGCCTGAAGGAGTGACGATTTTCCGGCACCTAAACAGAATATACATATGAATTAACGGATTTCACTGAGGAGAATTTACGTTCTTCTCTACTCCGTATACATCTTCTCTAAAAAAAATCAGGTACCATACGGAACCCAATATAATTTCGTGCGTATTATGAAACTATAAAATGGTTCCGAAGACGGTACAGAACTTGAAAAGAGTTTTGTACATGGTACGGAACTTTAAAAAGGTTTCAAATCTTTCAATGAAATCGTAGTCTTTTTAAGGTTTCGTATAATACCATATATTTTTGTAGAATTGGAGTTTTTTCATGAAAAATATTCTTTATGCACTGCTGATGTTTGATGATTCAACGGTTATTGAAAACAACAGGGCAAGATAACAAGCAAAATTACCCCTTAGAATAGTTCATTTATTTATAAACGAATCCGTTACATTAAAAGTTGAAACTCAGTGACTAGAAAAAATTAGTTTTATAGAATTTGTAATTGTCGTGTAACAGTCAATTGATGTTTCAATAGAATTCCCAAATATCATAAGCTTCAAGCGAAACGTTTCGAAAGATCAAATTTCTTATTATTGCAAGGTGTTTAGTAGATGTTTCGAAATGGCGAAAGTGAAAAAATATGCACAGTTGACATATAAGAAGAACCTTATGGATTCAAATGAAGAAATGGAGTGACACATTACGCTGAGAATCGCACGATAGGATATGTCATTTATAAACGGTGCGCTGATTCTAATACCGACATATCGAAACTAGATTCCTAAATGCTTAACGAACATTGCATATCTGAAATATTGTATGATGTCTCTTCAGATGATCTGCAAGACAGCATCCAGTGGAACCTCTTTAAATGGACGCCTTGTCTTTGTGTACACTAGCTAGACCGTCTGAATGAATTTTGCTGGAAACAGACCTCTCTAAAGTGGAAGAATAGCGTTTGTGAGCAGTAAGTGGTATTCTTGAGCTCGGTCGCACAATATAGGCTCTTTAAAGTAGACCTCACTAATGGCTGTTATTGCACAGTATATTGTTCGAAGGTACCATTATACCAGCATCAGCTTACACAAATACGAATTGGTTATGGCAATGAAAACGTAACTTTCACTGCCAATTTGAGTTGCACATTCAAAGACAATGATTCACTGAAACAGGCAGATAATTGTCGACAATCAAGATTTCCGAATTTGATGAAGTAGTTCTAATATTCGGAATGACAACGCATAAGATTTTCTGACAATCGAGGCTGGATAATGTCAATACTATGATAAAGATGCTGACAATGTGTCGCACGAAGAGCCTTCAATGCTGTATGATGCTTTTGAAATAATGCAAGCGTTGCGTCTTCTCACAAATGCTAAACATTCCTCGCTTCACTATCATAGCAGTGTTTTGGAATAAAAAAAATACAAAGAAAAGTCAAAAAAAATTCTAAAAAGAATTGCTGGGCAAATCTTGAAACGAAAAACTCCTAAAAAATCTTCAAACAAGGACTGATAAAAGCTTTAGAAGAGGTCACTATTTCCTCAGTCTCCTATAAATTCTTTCACCCTGAAGTTAACTTTTTTATCGGAGAATTTTCGCTGTGATATTCAACTATGAAATTGTAAGTTAACAAAGTAACGTTTTTCAGAAACGTTGTCCGTATTGATGTTGTGAAGCACAATAGATTATCTTGAGTTTTTTTTCTTTTGAGATTCGGACACTATTTTTCCTAAAGTGGGAACCTGCTTGAAATGAGTAATTGGAAAAAAATCTGTCAGTCATGCCGTTGAGGAAGGTTTTATTATATTTCGTTCCTCGGTTTGAATGCAGCTACGAAGTCTCAAACTATCGAGTCCTTTTATTGTAGTTTCATTGATATTTATCAAAGATCTTCTGATTTGAAAATTTTGGAACGAAGAAGGAAGACAAAGCTCACTTTGATTCTTCTACCATCTGATATTTCTATTGACTAGTTTTCTTAAATAGAAATGTTCTTTAAAAAATAAATTCCTCAATGTGTTAAACAGTCGCGTGGTTACTTTCTTGCATCTGTCATTTTATAATGATACACGGAGATTTCTTTAACTTTGACTGTTCACAGTAATCCAATTTGTCGTTTCTTTTCGATTTCCCTATTTGTATCTACTATTTTTCACTGGAACGCGGTAGGATTTCTGACAAAAAAATTTTTAACAGCTTCTAGATATACATGTCAAAATATCAAACAATAATGTAATCTACATATTTATAAAGCTGAGAACGCGCTTGACGATCAAAACCGAATATTCTGAACATGCTTGAGACTGCGTCACTTTTTCATATATTCTTCGTCATCTTCTTAGCTGATCCAATCTCTTTCATAAACATAAGCATATGTTGGGAAATTAAAAAGTGCGACATAAAATGTCTGAGCTAGAAAAAGAAGAATCATAGGAAAAATACCACTTAACATTACTTTTAAGAATGAATGGTTGATTATTAGGGTATATGTATTTTCTAAGAAGTGAAGTAATCGTACCTGTTCGACCAATAACTCCAATCTTTTCCTTGGATTCAATTCGTAGGTTAATATTTTTTAGTACAGAATCGAGCTCTGAGCGATACCGAAAAGTATAATTTTTGAATTCAATAATACCACGAGAAGGCCAATCATCTGGTGGTTGAATGAGAATATCGCTTTCGCTACTGTTTCTATGGCTCTCTGGCACAAGTTGACCATATTCATGAACGCGTTCTGCACTAGTCATATAGTTTTCAGCTTCTGCTGACTGTCGAATACCCCATTGGAAAAGACCCGTTAAAGTAATACAATAGCTCAGACTGAGTGCTGCCGCCGATGGGTCAATTTGGTTACGCAGTGCCACTGCAAGAATAGCCGTAACCAATGTAACTACGGATGTCATGAGATCAAGTCGTAAACCGAACCAACGTGAAGCGGCAACGAGAATGAAATAAGCTCGTGAGTTTGTATCGATTCTTTCCATAAACATATTTACGAAATCAGCTTGAACTTTAAACGCACGAATGCTAGTGAGTCCATCCAATGAAGACGAAAATAAGGCATACATTGGACTCCGTGTTACACTTTCGAGCCGCTTGAGTTGACGACTAGAACGTATATAGAACCGGCGAATCCACAAAACTATAGGAACTAAAGGAATGAGAACTAGAAGCACCCATGGATTAGTCGTTCCAATGATGATAATGGAACCAACAGTCATTAGTAGATTTTGTGTACTATCGATTAAAGCCAGAGGTAACGATTCATCTAATACTTGTTGATCTTTGCTTGCTCGATTCAATATTCTTCCACTTGGATTACTCTCAAAGAAACGTAGCGAAGTATACAAAATGCCACTGAGCATTCGATTGTGAAAATGGGTTGATCCACGTAACATAATAAAGAAAATAAAGCCGGTACGTACTAATATAACGGCCAATGTACCAAATGTCAATCCAAGATAGACATAAGCATAATATGCTGATTTTTGTTGATCATCAGATTTGCTAGACCACAATGCAAGCCAACGATTCGTATAGTCGTACAAAGCTTCAGCACCACACATGAGAATTATCATAAGAAAAAATCCAAACCAACGTAATGGTGGTGAAGTGAACAATTGAAGCCAAACACTCCATTTGATGGTACCATCAACTGATGTCTCAGTCGTTACAATGGGATTCATATCAGTTGTAGCAGTTTTAAGTGTCCAATCAGTCTCCTTGTCATTAGATGAATCTGTTTCTGATGTATCACTAGATAAATCTGTTTTCGATGTGTCATTAGATAAATCTGTTTCAGGTGTATCATTCGATGGTTGGTTTTCAACAGGTTGTTCAATATGTAATTCCTCAATGTGACCGTTTGTCAAAAGAATCGTTTGATCAGCTTCAACTAAGAAATGTATCTGATGTGTTACTAATATTCGAGTTTTTCCACGAAGAAAACTATTTGGACCAATGCATTCATCGAAAATTTGTTTCGCTACTTTTGGATCAACAGCAGCAAGTGGATCGTCCAGTAAATATAAATCGGCATTAGCATAAAGAGAACGAGCCAGAGATATTCTAGCCTTTTGTCCTCCACTCAAATTGATACCTTTGTCACCGATCATCAATAAATCACCCACTTCACCGAAATTTTGTAGATCAATATCAAGACAACATGCCTTTATTACATTCTTGTAACGTTCTTCATCCATTGGTTTGCCAAGAAGAATATTAGCTCGAATAGTATCAGCAAATATCCAAGGCAGTTGTGGAGCATATGAAATAGAATCGGTATATTTTCGTAGTTGTCCACTGACAAGGTTGATCTCACCTAGAATGGCAGCTAGAAGAGTTGACTTGCCAGCACCAATGGCACCTTTCACTCCAACCAGAGTACCATGCTTGATCTTGAGATTGAGCGAAGACAGACAACAAGATTCTTTCCAAGAAAATGATGCATCTTCCATTATGATTGCATGATCCCCATTTTCTTTTTCCACTTCTTCACATTTATTGGACAATATGTCGAGTCGCATAAACTGATCGATTCTTTGCGCAGAAACACGTGCTTCACTTAACTTTTCTATATCAAGTGGCATTAAAACAGTTACTGATGTTCGAACCATAGCAAAGTAGGCTACTGTCGCAAAAATATCTTCTGGAAACAAAGTTCGACCCATTAACCAACTTGTACCGAATGTAGCAAGAGAAGTTAAAAGTAATGATGTAACGAAGAGAGCAACATTAATAGATCTCAAACAGCTAGATTTAAAAATATGCGAAAGTTCACGTTCACGTATTTCATGTACTCGTTGTTCCATCGCTTTTTCCCAATTGTACATTTTAATAATTTGACATCCGTTCACAAGTTCATTGATTGTTTGCACACGCTTGTCTGTGCATGTCAATGTGGCCTTTCGAAATCGACTGAATAATCTACTGAATATGAGCTGTACTGGTACTAAAAGAACGAGTACTGCATAACCGAATAGTGTCGGTAAACCAATGTTAAACCAAATGAGACCAAACATCACAACAGCTTCCAGAGGTCCCAACAATAGAGCATGCGAGAAAACGCAAAATTCTTCAAATTTACTTGCATCATTTGCTACCAAATTAATCGTCTGAGCAGCAGTAGTCTTGTAAAGAGCCACCGTATTGATGGCCAACAAATGTTTATAAATGGCGGCCGATAATGCGTTGCGAATGCGCATTCCAATACGTTGATTTAGAAAATAGATTTGTTGATGAATAATAGCTTGCAGAACCGTAGCAATACAAAGGGCAATAACACATAAATAACTAGCGTAAGTGGGTAATCGTGATGGATTTTGAATATAGATAACAATTTCGCGAATAAGAAATGGCTGTGCAATCCGAGTGATAACAAGTGGAACAATAAGTAATATGTTCACAATGAAATCTTTGAAAAAGACTTGTTTCAGAACACGCCATGTACCTGGCCATTTAGAGCTGTTATGATTCACTCTGTTCAACAAGACTGAACATTGATCGTTGACAGAAAGGTCATCGAGATCGTCATCGACAAGTGTGCGGCGATTGCCTAAGGAAAGAATAGGTTGTACCCACGAGATTAGTGGTATCAATATCCATCTTGTCCATGTTGACAGATACCAATCCAAACGGCAAGATTGACGTTGTTTACCTAGAATACACTGTCGAACATCATGGAATTACATTCCTTGTTTTTGTTGAACTAGTTCGTAAACATAGTTGACATATATATCCTGTCATAAAACAACTGCGGTTATTTCTTCGTCTCTATATGAAGCAAAACTTCTATCGTTTGGTAAGCATGTGCTTAACTTTTCATAGACTTTGCTCTTTCATTATTAATACAGTATAATGCGGTTTTCTTGTATATCTTTCAAGTACGCTGAAATAGACTGAATCGTTAAATAGATGCACACACACACCTATTATTGTGCGTTCATTTGTATTATGCGCTTCTCACTCTATTCAAAAAAGAAAATATGAAGCTATGAAATTATAGACTAGAGAACTTTAGTCGTCAATACAATACTTAACGTTGACGATGGCGAGTTTCGATATTCTTGTGATGTGGCTTACTGAAAAAGTTATTTTTCTCAAAAATGAAACAGTTGCTAGTTAATATACACGAAAAAATTTTAATGACACTATCCAAAAGCATCACTGTTTGTCTGGATAGGAAATGTTTATCTTCTCTTCGTATCAATAAATATCGTGCGATCGACTTGAACCATTTCGATTCATGAGAGGGAACCGAATTCGTTGGCTTTGTAAGCAGTATATTGTTTTAATGATACTTACTTTCAGTTGACAGAGACACTTTAGATGGATCTAAGGAATTGACATTCTGCAAGTCCGCTTGTTTTTGTGGAGAAATTCGTACTGCAGAAAAACCATTAGTGCGATGTTTACGTTCTGTGTCCAAATTTGTTACTTTTCTTTCTTCCATCACTTGTTTACTACCAGTTTTTGAAGCTGAGTGCGAAAAACAATTTATGATTGCCTTTTTATTGTCCAAAATTTTATTACACATACGTAACTGCTGCTTTTTTATTGTCATTTGATTCTGAATAGTCATGGCCATTCCTTATCTCATGGCCAAAGGACGTTGATGGATTTAGTGACTCTGCTTATTTTGGACAATAAACTTTACGGCTTTATAGAAAAAGTCGAGGTTCACCAAATAGTATATAAAATATTCATCATTCATCAAGGCAATATGGATCATAAAAATGCATAATAGTGACACATCCATCATGCTATTTGATTATGATGTTTTCTTGATCACATTTGATAAAGACAAACTCCCGCTAACTGGTTTATTTCGTTAAGTAGAAATGATTGTGCTCTTAAACTCATACACGTAACATTTTTCTCTCTCAATTGTCTTTATGATTAAACACTTTCACTTTTTATCCACAAGTAACAACTGTTGACTTTCTGTCTTAAGTGCTTTATTACTATACATAGGTATTAGGCAAGCTCGAATTTCCAGGGATGTGAAGTTCGAGTTTATGATTCGGTTCGGAGTTGACCTCACCTCTTATCAAGCTGTGCGTGCAAACTAAATTCAATACCAACCTGAATTATCTATCCAAAGTTTCGTGTAATTGTGAGATATTGATTGTATAGACTTTTATTTAGTCTAACAATTTTCTTTGAAAGTTAACCAGTTTATACAGAGTAACTGAAAAATGTCTGGTGTTCGGATTTTAACAGTTCCATGTGAAAGAGATATATACGAAAAGAATGCATGAGATATTTCTTATCGGATTACTCGAATCGTTATTCTCTTGAGGGTGTGAGTATAGGATGCATATATGCGTGAGGAGTGATGTAAGTGTAGTTGGTGAGTCTACTCGTCCTCGAACCATTGCCAGTCACACACTCCAATAGACTAGAAGCCATAATGACACCAACGCTGACACTATAAAATTCGACTAGAAATTTTCGAAGATGAGGAATCCGAATCGATAAGTTGTTTGTGGCTATTTGAGGCTTGATTTTTCTGGTTAGGAAAGGTTTTTTTTTGGAGAAAATAATTCATTTTATAATACTTATATGAAGTCCTTCTGGGCTGAGGAATTTGAATCGAAACTTTCTCAGCTTCGAAGCCTTATTCGAGGACGATGATTCAACAGAAAGCGAATGACCAGGAAAATCTTTCCCTATGAATCATTGTGATTTGTGATGTTATTTGATTTGTATTACTATCAAATGTACCAAATGACTTTGGTCTGCAATCCATACTATCATGCAAAATTGATATTGTTGTATACGTACTAATGCTGTAAAATTGATAAACAGACAATATATGGAAAAATGAAATGCAATGGTAATTATAAATACTACTAAATGTTATTCATCAGAGAAACGTACTGTACTTTACTGTGGGTTAAATCCATATAGAACTTTCGTTTTCATTTTTGAAGATCACATATCATGAATAGAATTTCATCAATCATTTCAAATTATTCTTCCAGAGTAAGCAGATTATTCATCCACTTGAGTAACAACTGATTTCTTCATAGAAGCAATATTATGAGCACTTTATACTGTATTTTTACAGATTGAATGGTCATTCTTTCAGAAAAGAGCCACTAAATCGTTTGATGAACGTTACTTATCATTTATTCTCAAGATATTTTTTTTCATACATTATTATTAGAATGCAGAACAATAAGCTTGAGTATGTATTAATTTTAGTTATATATTGGTATTATAGTATATAATTAAATGAAAGTATTAACATTAATCTTAATTAATTGATGTGTATAATAACTTATGTTATTATTAATGATTGTACTCATCGATTACAATATGTGATTGATACATGTTATTATAGTTATAGGTTTTTGTTAATACAAGAAAACAATTTTTTTATCTTTGTTATTTATTTATATATTTTTTGTTCTATCTGATTATTTTTTATTAGCATGAAAATAATTATATAAGACCGAAAACTGTCGAATATATTTTATTTTTGTTAAAAGACAACAATAAGATTTTGCTTTCAGAATACTGGATATATTTCATTAATTTATTTAATTATGATTTAATCTAAAAATATTTTTTTATACAGTGACATATTTGTTTAATTTTGATCCATAAGAATCTATTTCAAACTTAAAATTCTTCTGAGTTTCAAATTGGATATACATTCTTACAAATCAATATCAAACTGTATTAAATCATTTGTTATAAGATGGTAACAATATTGAATTCTTATAAACATGTATGTAAGCTAGTTTGCTTCAATCTATGTTCATCTAACTTTATAGATTCAAAGTGTAGAAAAAAAACTAAAAATTATCTGACATCTATGAAATAATCTTTATATGTGTTAATTTCACAGAATGTGTAATAGTTAAATCATTTTTTTAGAAGTAGAAAAATTTTTGTCGTATATCTTAACACGTTACTAACATTCGATTTTCGAATATATGCGTACCCCTAGAGAGAACGATCATATTCCATATATGTGGATTGCAAATATGTGTTAGTAACTGCTAAGTTATCATTTAAAACCGACTGTATTGAATAGACATGATTATTGAGAAAGTACGTCATTGAAAAGTATGTTATAATATAATCATTGTGTTCTTGTGAAGTTTCATGTTCGAATAAGTTTCAGCGTAGCTTTTTCACATGGCTAAGATAAAAATATGATGAGAAAGAGTGAAAAACGAAGTCAATAAAACTTTTTTAACGTTTTTACTCATAAAGTGCCCTCTTAAGAAGGAGATCAATTGCGTACAATGAATTCTGAATAATAAATTCAATATTACTCTTTAGCGTATGTCTTTTAAACATTGCATATTCGAAAAATACAAAATCAAAATGGGTCAAAAATTTTTGAAGTACGATGTATATCTATATAATTGAAACTCATAAATGATACCTAATTATAGCTATTCACATTTTTTTTCTCTCTTCTAGCGTGAAAAGAAAAGCTGAAAAGAGATGGCAATTCTATTTTGTTCTAAACTATATATAAAAAGACAAGACTAACATTATCGGTAACAGTCGATTGCTTTATACGTATTTGCGTTACCTACATCAGCATGAAGTATGTCGATGAAGGCACGAAAAATTTAAAATCTGATTAGTATTCGGTCATTTGTTTGTGTTGCTGATCTATCAACTATATGAACTCTAAGCTGACTATACAATAAAAAAAAATGCAAAAAGTTACCAAAAATATGCCAAGTTATGCATGAATAGAAATGAAAAGGCTACAAAGAAACAATGGGTTTCTGATATGAATGAACAAGAATAATGACAGTATTATACAAAGAATAGATTATTGAATGAGCAGTCCATGCAAGCA